CCCGCGACCCGAACTACGTCCCAGTGAACAAGCCAAATATTCGGCGTCTGCGGCGGGTTTCTTTTGCATTTGTTCCAGGTGGAGAACCTGCGACCCAAACCGCATTCAGCGCGCAAATCAAAACTTTCGGCGCCTGCGGCGGGCTGTTTCTGAATTCCACCCAAGAGCCCGCGGCCCGCCCGCGACCCAAACTACGTTCACTGAACAAGCCAAAGATTCGGCGCCTGCGGCGGGTTGTTTCTGCATTCGTTCCGGGCGGCTCACCAGCGACCCCCCCCCCGCGCCCGCCCCCTCACTCTTATCCGCACTTGCGGGGTGCCGCGTATGTAGGCACGCGCGCGCGACGACGCGCGCGCGCATCGCCACATGTTTTAGCAGGGGATTCTTGACAACTGGCGATTGATTATGCGCGAGTGCGTGCGCACACTATTTTTGCAGAGTGCGAGGAGGGAGGGGGGCGGGCCGGCGCTGGCCTGGCGGGGCTGATGCGAGCTCATACTTAACATGGGCGACAGGGGCAGAACCATGCGCGAAGTGCATTACGGAAAGGGGGGCGGTCAAGTCCGGGGTGGCGGCGGTGGTGGTATATCTCAATATTTTTTCATTCGGGAGAATATATATATATATATATATATATATATATATGGTGCTGTGGCGCACTTGATTTTTGCATATGAACTGACAACGGCCATGCCCTTGCAGACATCCCGCGCACCCACCCGCAAAGTGGCCAGCAAAATCCATGCGGCGGCGATTGCGATGAGTGCTTAGCGGTGGCTGGTGCATCTCTGCGGCCGCGCTAGCCCGCGCATGCTCGCGCGCGCAGCGGCCACCTAGTTTGGCGCGACCGGCGCGGCGGCGGCGGCGCTGGCCGCCGGGCGCTTCCCCGCGGGCACTCCAGTGCGAGCCAGCGACTTGGGCGGGCGCCGTGTCACGACGACGCCAACGGCGGTGGACGAGTTTATGAGAGTAGCGATGACGGTGGCGATGGCAGCGACGACGACGGCAAGGCCAATGACGATGCTGACTTTGAAAGCCCCTTTTTCCGATGACGACGACGACGTCGTCGCGTCGGCGACGGGGGCTTCTTCCTGAAGCTGTGCGACGCGCGCGCGCGCGGGCGACGCGCGCAAGTGGCCCGCGTGGCATTATGGAGCGCGGATCGCGCCCCCCCCCCCTTCCCCCCCCGCCAGCGCGCGCGCGTGGGCGCCCGAAAGACTTCGACGCGCGGCGCGCGAGGCCAGTTTGGCATACTTTGAACTTGCTGAGAAGCCCCTGGTTTTCTTTAGAAACCGCCAGAACACGGGCGCCAAATTTGCGTTGAAAACCCCCGTTGCGAAACCTTGCGTTTTGATGTGTTTTCGGGGCGCTCGGCGTTCAACTCCGCGCGAAACCAAAATTTGTCGACGATTTTGGCACGCGCGCGCGCGCGACGACGCGCGCGCGCGCACCTACCCCATCTTCTGCAAGGGGATCCTCGCGCCAGCACGCGCGCAAGGGCGCTCGAAAAATTGCGACGCGCGCGCGAGAGGCCTGTCCGGCTGCAGTTTGTTAACATGTTGAACAGCCCATGGTTTGCATCAGAATCCGCGGGAGCGCGGGCGCAAGCTTCTTGGAAACCCTTGTTGCGAAGCCATGTGCTCGCGTGTATGTATGTATGTGTATATATATATATATGTGTATATATGTGTATATATACTATATATGTGGCTCTCGATTTTGAAATCCCCACGGATCCATCGGTGTTTGCAAGATTTTGGCGCGCGCATCGATCGCCCGATTTGTTTTGAAAATCCTGATTTGTGACAAACGAGCGCGCGCGACGTTTTTTTCTCTGGGCGGCGAGGGGGGGGGGGGAGGGCGAGCCCCGGCACTCAGGCCTGCCTGGAGTGGTCTGAACGCATATTCAGGATGGACGATGGGACAGAACCACGCGCAAATTGCAAGGCGAGAAAGTCCACTGTGAATCCTGGGGGGGGGGGGGGCGTGGAAGATCCCGATTCATGTCATGTTTAGACGGGGGACTTCGCCGATGCCCGTCCTGAGTTGCCACTCCGCCCGCCGGCCACTTGATCTGCCGAACCCACGTGGCGGCGATTGCGGCGAGTGCTCGGCGTTGGCTGGCGCATCTCCGCGGGCGCGCCTGCCCGCGCATGCTCGCGCGCGCAGCGGCCAGCCAGTCTGGCGCGACCGACGCGGCCGAGGTGGCGCTGACCGCCGGGCGCTTCCCAGCGGGCGCCTCAGTTCGAGTCGGCTGATTTGGCAGGCGCGGAAGCAGGGCAAATTCGACCGCGGTGGGCGTGACGATGATAGTGGCGACGCTTGCGACGACGGCGACAACGACGACGGCGCGGCCAGCGACGGCGCCGACGTCGATCGCGCCGCCGAAGGAGGACGGCGCCCCCGCGGCAGCGACGATGGCTGCGAAAGGGGTTCGACGCGCGCGCGGAGCCGACGCGCAAGAGCGGCCCGCGAAGCATCGCCGATGTAGATCCCCCCCCCCCCCCCAAGCAATCGCGCAAGGGCGCCCGGGCGATTTTGATTCGCGGCGCGAGAGGCCCTCTTGGCCGAAAGCAATGATTAGATGCGCATATGGTTTCCTCGAATTCGCAGGGGCCCGAACGCGAGCTTCTTCGGAAAACTGAAGTTGCAGAACAACGCGCGCGTCAGATGCGTTCGGGGCACTCGATTTAGAAGACCCTACGGAACCCGAGGCTATGGCAATATTTCGGCGCGCGCGCAAGCGCGACGCGCGCGCGTGCACTTCGCGTCTGTTCTGCAAAGGGTTCCGGCGACCACGCGCGCGCGTGGGCGTTCGAGCGATTTCCGCGCGCGCGAGAGAGGCCCGTTTGGTGGCGCGTTATGGACGCGCGCTTCGCCCCATTTGCTGCAAGGGGTCATTGGGAACTTCTGTCTTCCGATCAAAGAATGCGCGCGCGTATCATTCGTTGCAGAGGATGGGGGGGGGGGGGGGGCGGGCGCTGGCCTGGCCGGGGCGGTGAGTCGGCGCATTTCGGATGGGCGACGGGGCAGGGCCGCGCGAAAATTTCAACGCGAAAAGGTGGGCGGTTAAGTCCAGGGGAGGAGAAATAGATCCGACTATTCTGTTACGCCCGCAGGCAATTTGGCGCGCGGAACCAACGCGACGGCGATTGTGATGAATGCTCGGCGTTGGCTGGCGCATCTCCGCGGGCGCGGGCTCGCGCGCGCAGCGGCCAACTAGCGCGGCGCGACCGACGCGGCGTCGGTGGCGGGGGCCGCCGGGCACTTCCCAGCGGGAACTTCAGCGCGAGTCGGTGACTTGGGCGGGCGCGGCTTCATGGCGACGCCGACGACGGTAGACGCGACGATGAGGGTTGCGATGATGGCGACGACGTGGTGGCGATGACGACGGCAAGGCCAATGACGGCGCCGACGTTTATCACGCCCGCCAATAAAGATGACGATGCCCTCGCGTCGGCGATGAAGGTTGGAAAGGAGGTCGACGCGCGCGCGGATCGCGCCCCCCACCCCCCCCCCTCGCGCGCAAGGGCGTTCGGATGAGTCCGACATGCGGCGCGAGAGCCCTTTCGACAGCATTTTGGCGACAATATTGAAAATCTACGGCTCTTTTCCAGAATTCGCATGAGCGCGCGCGCGGGCTTCGAACAATGATGTCGCCAAAAAAACCGGGGCGCTCGGTGTTGAAACCCTTACGAAACCTGAGGTTGTTGAATGATTTTGACATGCGCGCGAGGACGCGCGCGCGTGCAGCTCGTCCCAGCTCTGGAAAAAAAGGATCCTGACGACAGCGCGCGCGCAAGGGCGTCCGAACGATTTCCACGCGCGCGCGCGCTAGAGGCCCGCTTAGCAGCATGTTATGTGAATGCTGCAAATCGATAGTTTCCTCGAGAATCTGCAAGAGCGTGAGCCTTGTTATGAAACCTTATGGTTATTTTATGTTTTCGTGACACTCGATATCGAAGCCCGTGCGAAACGTAAGCGTTTCAAACGTTTTTTTGCATGCGCGCGCGACGACGCGCGTGTGTGGACTTCGTCCCGTCGTTTGCAAAGGGGTCCTTGAAGACGGATGATCTGTGATAAACGAGTGCGCGCGACTAAAACTTGTCGCGGGGGATGAGGAGGGGGCGTTGCCGGCCTGCCTCGGATGTGGGAACGCAAGTGTAATTTGCAATGCGAAGACGGGGCGGTGAAATCCAGAGAGGGGGGTAGGCCCTAATACTCATCGAGAAAAGAGAATCTATGCGAGGCGGCGACCGGCGGCGGCGGCATCATAGCCGCCAGACCGGCGCGCAGGCCCAGACGACGAGCGGCGACGAGGCGGCGATGGGGCGGCGACGACGACAACATGGCTGCGAGACCGACGCGCAGGCCCAGTTCTCTTAGACAAACAGGTAACAGCCCCTACGGTGCAAACACTGTTTGGGAAACCTGTGTAAACAAAAAAACAAAAACAGATACGCGGAGATGGCCGATACCTTCTTGACAGTGTCAGGGGAGAGAGGAGAGTAGTATGAATCCATTGTAATTGTAGAGGCGGGGGAGGAGGGAGGAATGAGGCGGAGGACTGTCCTTTTGCAGCTGCGGCTGCTCCTGCTCCTCCTCCTGATCCTCCTCTCTGCTCTTTGATATCCTGCATTTCTCATACCCTTCCCACTACTGTTCGAGCAATTCACCTCTCCAGGGCCCCGAGCGAGCTTGGCTCCTGGTGCGGCACGGCACAAGCCAGCATAATCATCCTCCTGCTGCTGCTCCTTCTCCTGCTGCTCCTCCTCCCCCTCCTCCTCTTACGAACTCTCTTCCTCCTCCTCCTCCTCCTCCTCCTCGTCCTCGTCCTCCTCCTCCTCCTCCTCCTCCTCCTCCTCCTCCTCCTCTTCCTACTCCTCTTACGAACTCTCCTCCTCGTCGTCGTCCTCCTCCTCCTCAGGCTCTTCATCCTTTTCCTCCTCCTCCTCCTCCTCCTCCTCCTCCTCCTCCTCCTCCTCCCTCCTCATGTGCACCTGGCGGGCTCGGCTCCAGGTCGAGGTTCACCACGAAGTTCGAGTGCAGCGAGCCTGGGGCCGCGGCCGGCTCCCCGCCAGCCCGTTGGCGGAGGGGGATCCTCAGCGATTCCTAGTGGCGATCGCCGGCCCTTTGGCGAAGGAGGATGAGGAAAAACCACTGGGGATCGCTGAGACTGCTGCCAAGCGGCCAACAACATTCGTGCCAAGTTAGTCGGCACAATTCGCCGAGGAGGACTAGGAGGAGGAGGAGGAGGAGGAGCAGGAGGAGGTTCGAGGAGGAGGAGGAGGACTGAGGAGGAAGGGAGAGAGCTTTAAAAATGATGCAGCTTGGGGGCGCCTTCACCGCATTGGTGGGACCAGGGGCCTAGTGCACAACCATGGTGTACCACTCAAGGAGAGGGCAACTATGGAGCAAAGCGATGGGATTGCTGAGGAGCTTCGAACTGAGCTTCCCAGAAATCCCACTGGGCTCGTCCAAGCACCATGTCATGCCTCGAGTGCGACGGTTCAGCTTGAACCTCCTGCCCGAGAGGGTCATGCAGCCAGGGCGATAAAATCAAGAGACCCTTGTGGGCTTGAGCCAGACGGAGGGAGGAAGGGATGGATGAGGATGAGGAGGAAGAGGATAAGGAGGAGGATGAAGAGGAGGAGGATGAGGAGGACGAGGAGGACGACGACGAGGAGGATGAGAACGACGAAAACGACGAAGAAGAAGAAGAAGGATAATACGAATAAGAACAATAAAAAGAATAACAATAAGAATTATAAACAATAATAACAGTACGAATAAGACATATAAGAATACTAATAAAGAAGAAGAATAATAGGAAGCAGAAGAAGACGACGCAGACGAGCGCGAGGCGTGCCACGCCGCGGCGCTGGTCAGCTGGGGCGCGGCCGTGCTCTCGCCTCCCCCCCCCCGCGAGGCGGCGGAGCCGAAGAAGGCGTTGCCGGCGGCGGGGGGGAGCGTCGCCACCTGGGGGGCGGCGGGGGAGAGGGGTGAAGGGGGGAGGGGAACGGGAGGGGGGGTGGGAAGAGCAGAGGGTGGGAGGGAGGGGGGGGGGAGAGGGAGGGGGGGAGGGAGGGTGGGGAGGGGAGGGGGGAGGAGGAGGAGAGGAGGAGGAGGAGGAGGAGAGGAGGAGGAGGAGGAGGAGGGAAGAGGGAAGAGGGGGAGGAGGAGGAGGAGGAGGAGGAGGAGGAGGAGGAGGAGGAGGAGGAGGAGGAGGAGGAGGAGGAGGAGGAGGAGGAAGAAGAGGAGAAATAATAAGAAGAAAATAATAATAATAATAATAAGACAAAGAAGAATAAGAAGAAGAAGAATAATAATATGGATAAACATATGGGAGGAGGGGGGAGGGAGGGAGGGAGGAGGGGGAGAGGGAGGGTGGACAGAGAGGAAGGGATGGGAAGGAAGGGAATCGGGGCTGAACGAATCTGGGGGCCTGAAGAGACAGACCTCTGGGGACTTCCTGCGGGGCCTCCCGTGGAACCTCCAGAGAAACATCGCAGCACGGGGAGGAGGAGGAGGAGGAGGAGGAGGAGGAGGAAGAGGATGGGAGGAGGAGGAGGAGGAGGAGGAGGAGGAGGAGGAGGAGGAGGAGGAGGAGGAGGAGGAGTACGCAGGCTGAAGAGGAATCCGTCGCGCGGCGCGCCAACGGCCACTCGAAAACGGACCTGAGCCCGTGGCCCAGGTCCAGCGCTCAAAGCGACCCTCACCCAAATGCCCATCAGAGAATCACGGCGGGGAGGGGGTCGGAACGCAGTGGCGAGCTGGAAGATTAGAAGCTCCAATAACGATTAACGAGTTAATCATCCGAGTTGCAACCAGTGCACCTCGGGGTCAGAAACTTGCAGCCTTCTCTGCCCCGAAATGGTCTCACGACGACGCAAGTCCGAGGGGTGTCGGTTGGTATTGAACCGATGGATATGAGAGGCTCCACGTTTACTACACGGAGGCGGGGGACAAGCATCCAACAAAGCAGACGCACCCCCAGTCGAGATGGCCCCACAAGTGAGACAGATGACAACGTAGCCAGGAGAGACTCGCAACTCGTGCCCCCGAGCACTCCTGGGGTAAATGTCCCCAGAGACGGGCAGAGGGGAAAGGGGCCGAGAGCTGGGAAGACGCGAACCTCCCCGAGGCCCTTGGACACGGCGAAGCTTCGGCGCGGGCCCCCCCCCGAGCGGAGAGAGCAGGGCGCGCCTGAACAGCACGGACGGCGTCGTGTAGGTCGTCGTCGCCAGCAGGGGCGAAGCTCACCCTTGTCCCTCTGTCAGGAGGGAGAGGGGCAGAAACGCGAGCTCGAACGACTCTCAAGTCGGGGGAAGAAGAGCGAGCGCGAGCACGAGCAGAAGCAGAACTCGCAGCCGCAGCAAGGGGGGGCAGCGGAGGAGGAGGAGGTGGAGGGGGGCAAACCACGTGCCACGACGGGAGCTCGAGGCTGCGCAGCCTGAGCTCGATCAACATCATGACCAGGAATCCCCCACTCCCGCGACACAGACGACGGCCCCGACTCAGCCCCCAAACCCATGTCATCGTGAAACGCCGCCTCCTCGGCGATCATAAGATCCAAATCTTCAAAGCCCCCTGAAGCCAGGGGGTCAGAAATCAGAGCAGTGGGAAAGGTCACATCACCCTGCCTGGCACGCACATTCCTGTGATGGGGCGAGGCCAGACGAGCGCGGATCTGCGGAAGGGCCCTCCTCCCAGACGACGGCGACGGCGACGACGTCCGAACCCTCCCCCCACCGTCACCTGGCGGAGCAGGAGTGCTAACAGGGGTAGGCTGGCTGAGCTCACAATCCTGGGAACCAACCTTGCTCCCCGAGACATCCCCCGCAGAGCGAAGGATCCTCGCACAAAGAGATATCTTCGCAGGGCAACGGCGACGCGCGAATATCTTGCGCTGTTTGTCAGACCGACAAGTCTTGGAGCACGAGGCGCATCGCCATCCGTTGCTGCACGGATAAAACACATGCAGGAGCCCTGGGTCAGGCGGAGCAGCCGCGCGAGCGGCAGCAGAGGCACGAGCCTTCCGTCGCTGCTCAAAACGATCCGGACCTGGGGCAACCGTCTCAGACATATACTTAGTATGAGCGCGGGCCATCCAAGTGAGTCTTGCGAGTGGCCTTATACAGCCGTTTCATAAAGAGAGCATCAGAGTCTGAAACCGCATGCAAATCACGGCCCTGGGTGGCCGCAAAGTCGGCCCAGCGGTTTCCACGGGCCTCAAAAGACATGCCCTTCTGGTGCCCTGGGATATGGAAAACCTGAAGCTCAGAACTCAATCCTCCAAGATCCTCTATCCTACGCCATATTTCACACCACAGATCACTGTTTGGGCGCCTCGGAGGGCGCCCCCACGATGGCCCACGAGCAAGGCCTTCAGGCAAATCCAAGTAATCTGTGTAAATGGTGATCGGCAACATCGCAACTCTCAAAATCTGAACAACCGCATATAGCTCAGCCCGTGGGGATGTTTGAACTGGGCCAGGCAAGGCCCCATACACGCACAAAAGAATACGATGATCCCCGACTTGCACGAAGCCCCATCCAGCCCGAGAGGCCTCAGGCCAGTAGTGATATTTACGACAAGCACCGTCGGAAAACACATGCCCAGTGATAGCCTGACAGTCTCCGTACATCGAATGCCACGTGCATGAGTCGTCCCTAGCAGGAATGGCTGGAAATACAGACCGTGGAAGTAAGCCACGGGCCCAAAACCACGAAGTTGGGGTCGGGTGAGGAAGCACTGATTTATCATGATCATCATACAAGATGTCGCGCCCCTCCTCATTGCAGACACACATCCACGGAATGTGGAAGACGTCGGCAGAGACCTCTGGACACAAAGGACACTGAGCGGCAGCAACATATCCACACGAAAACCGACGAGCTGGAGTCCACAAACCTCCCGTGACCATGGCCCTCAGGGTGCCTGCTGTTTGATATGATAAGAGGTAGGGCTTATCGGGGTCCTCGTCCTGCCTAGCCTTACCCAAGAGAGAGACGATGGGCTCCAGCCAGTACCCTGTGGGGCTCTTGGGGCCCAAGGTGCACGAGGTATCACGATCAGCCCGAGAGGCCCAATCCGACCGCAATCGTCGCACGGCAGCAGCTCGAGCCATATCTCGTACAGCAAGAGGAGACGCTTCACGAAGGTCGAGAACATCCCCTTGTTCAGTCCGAACCGCGAAAGCCGAGGACGAAACCCACCTGAGCGAGCGAAAGGCGAGCAGCGTGGCCCCCGTGGGACCCGACGCTGAACCCCATGGTTGCTTGGATGCATAAATAACTGGGGCCTGACGACGCCAGGCCTGTTGAAGAAGTGCATGTTGTGAACGACCCCAACACAGCAAACACCACTGATATATCGGGTCCACCCATGCTGCGATCTGGGGGTCCTGAGGACCCCCACCATGCAAGAAGGATGATATCCACGACGAACCCGCACGACCTGGTTCATACCATACACTATGCATAGCCTTACGCATGGAGTCGACGACGGCTGGAGGCGCACCGTGTACTCCCACCCCGTAGTTGAGAGCAGCAGGAACAGCAGACTTGGCAAACCTACCAGTGAGGGCCCCAGCCTTACGAACACGACGCAATCTAGGAAAGCGAGTACTCATCTTACGCACACGTGCACGAAGCCTCTGAAAGTGTAAAGCTCGTCCTGAGGTGACCTCTATGCCCAACACTTCTAGGGCCGATAAATATCGATAACCGAACTTGCCTAGAGCACGACAAACTCGTTGAGCGATAGTAGGATGAGCACAAGTCACGGCCATCTTGCGCTTGGCGGGCGCCAAGTCAACGGAGCCGAGCACGTCCACCAACCCTTTCAACACATAACAAGCATGCTTGAAGATACTATCTACTTTAGCTTTGACCTGTACCGTCAGATCGTCAGCATACACGTGCAGCGCGCGATCAATGTGCACCGAGCTACCATACAACGCGTCGATAGGCGATAACAGAACCAGCTGTAATATGAACATAGCCATGCTACATCCTGGAAGTACTCCCCGAGAAGCAAACACGGGCTCCGAGAAAGCACCAGCCCAAGACAACCGACGCCCGTACGTGTACATGCGCAAAGCTAGAGCCACCAGGGCCCCTGGGAAACCATGTTTGATAGCAGCTTGTGTGATGACAGCCCAGAGAACACTGTCGAAACACTTCTCAATGTCCACGATGGCGTGATGGCAGACAATGTCATCCCACTGCGCCGTTTTCTGCGGTGGGTGAGCTTCACCATGCAACAGAACACGAGAGGCAACGTCCGTGGTCGCCCTGCCAGTGCCGAGCGCAATATACGGACGACCTAACCGATTGGCCCAGCTTCGTACATGATCAATGCGAGCCTTGGCCCAGACTCGATATAACGAAACCAAGAGAGCGATATGTCGATAACCCCCTGCAGGTTTCTGGAGCAACACGATATGTACATGCTGAAGATACCCAGGCCAGGAAGACCACACTTCACACAGATGAAACATATATCCCACGAAAGATAAAGCCCCATTCGACACCAGGGCCCAGTGCTTGGGCCTCCATAAGTCAGCACCTACAGCAGTCCTGGCAGGAAAGGCCTTGGCGGCCTTGCGGAGCTCCTGGATACCCATTGGCGGAAGCCGAGGACCCAAGTCACGTAGCTGCACCAAGTCGTGCTGCAGCTCGTCCAGAGAGGCTGGCGAAGACCCACCGTCCCATATGCCTTCCCAAAACTCCCGCTGAACGTTGGCCACATCATCTGCGTGGCTCGAAGGGCCCCGGGAAGTGTGGACCTGGGACAACTGCCACCCACGAGGTTTCGTCCAGCAATGCACAGGCTTAGAACGGCTGCTCCGGCAATCCCTGAGCCATTTGACAAACCCCTGACCTCGAGCCTGGCCCAGCCGCCGCTCCTCAGCAGCAGCAAGATTGGACAGGGTGACGCAGAAGGTGCGGAGGAAGGCCGCGTGGTACGCGGA